AGGCACCCGAGCCGTCCCAGGGTGCTCCCGGCACTCCCTGAAAGCACCGAGGGCTCCACACACTTTATTTTTCACGCCATTTTGGCTGCAATGACGGCAACAGGAGCAGCCCCGGTGCCACGCCAGCACGCTGTGCCCTCCGCTGGGCGCTTAATGAAGACAAATTCGCCCGCACTGGGGTTTAATGGTTTGGGTGAACTTTCCCAGGCAGTATTTTATAGGGCCCGTTCCAGCTGGAAGCGTGATGACCAGAAGCCTTGCCAAAAATCAGGGCCAAGACGGCTGGCGGGGCAGCTCAGAGATGAGGGTCACTCCAGCACAGCCTGACCAGGATATTTACATTTTATTAAATCTTTACAATCAGCATTATAATCAAGTACACAATTATGTACACAGATTATATACAGTTTAGCCCAGACTTTTACATCACAGTACATAGTTGCCCTACAAAATATTGTATGTTATCACCGGAGAGTAAAACCCAACAAGAGTGTTACAGCACCTGGTATCAGACTTCTTTCATAAGAAAATATACGGCTGTAAATTGGGCTGGCTAAAAAAAAAAAAATCTTATAAAATCTGAACATACAATATTTCATTCACAGAATGTTGGTTGTTTTTCTGTGTTCTGACTGATGCCTTTGCATAAGATGTCCCGTTTTCACCCTCTCGCCACACACGGACTGGCGCCTGCCTGCCGCTGCGCCTCCAAGTACGCCGGCAGGAGGAGGGGAACCAACGCTGGGCCAGCTCTGAAACTTCATTAAGAAACAATAAATGTAAACAATCGATTCCTCTAAGATCAAATGAGACATTGATTGGCTGATCCGAGTTCGGTGGCGTGGAGCCAGCCCTGGCTCCAGCTGCGACTGCTGAACGCGTCCGTGCTCGGTGCCGCACCAGCACGCGAACACGGGGAAGAGCCGACCACCGGCGAGCGGTGCAGGAGCAGCGTTCCCCAGGCAGCGGACTGCCGAGAGGCCGGGAGCAACACTCCCTCCCCTCCCACAACTGTCTGTTTTTCTGATGAATACATTCCTTTTGCTTGTTAAGACGACAGCGACAGAAATCCGAGTTATTTTCAGAATGATATGAAAAGGTTAAATTAAAGCCCACTTCCTCCTAAGGAAACACAAAGTGAAAATAACCTGAATAAAACTGCTCCCCCCAGTTCAGCCCTCTTTCCCAGGTTCGGTGAACAATGCCATGGCTCTCATGAAGGTCTCAAAGGTGAAGCGGAACGAACTGAAACCACAGCGACGGACCCCAAAGGAGGGAGGCGGCAGGTCCCCAAGGCAGGCCGCCGCGCCCCAATGCCTCACAGCCCCGCGGAGGACGGGC